GCCTTCCCAAGAACCGACGACACTAAAATCCCCCTATAAGAGCTGCAAGACTGTTTGGGACCCTTATGCTTCCAAATGAAGTAAAGCGTTCCACCCTTGTGCTGTATGGGCTCACAGAGGCGAAAGGCTGATTTCAAGAGGAGCTGGTAGGCCACCTTGGAAAGGAAAGGGGCCCCATGATGTAGAACTTCACCAGGGATACCGTCTAACCCATAGGCACGCTCGGTGTTTGCAGCTCTGAGTGCTGCTTCAAGTTCAACAAGGTTGGGCACATCAAGCGGGGACACCGTATATCCAGAAAGGTCCTTCGCATCTTGGCGATGGTAACACGCGTGGACAAAAGCAACGGGGTCCTGCACATGACCGTCCTCGATGGCAGAAAAGTGGGATATCCATTTCTCTTTTGACTCCTGATGAGTCAGGGCCAAGCGTCCAGGGGATACCTCGATGGAAGGTAGTGGAGTGGGACCACGTTGCTTCCGCTTGGGACCCCCGGTAAGAGCCCGCAGCTTCTGCACGGTATCTTTGGTGGTAGCGGATGTCGCTTGGACAGCGACTTCATGGATGTAAGCTCGAGTATCCTCGCGTATACGCGTCCGCAGCTGCTTGCTAGTGGCGCGGAGTGCTGTCAGGTGGCCCGGCAGCTCACGGAGGCCTCGTAACCACCTACTCCAAAGCCTGTGGCAAGGCTGCCACAATCGACACGAGCATCTCCAGGAGCGTAGGGCAAAGGTCAATGAAAAGCATTTGCCGAAGTGTGAGGCTGAGTGAACACGCTTGCGCAGCCATGCACGTTGGTTGCGTAGCTGCCACGTCTCCGGCTGAAAGTATGACCGTCGCTGTTGTGTGCGCGGTGCTGGAAAAGCAAGTGGCAGTGTGCTGCGGAAATGATTTTCGATGTAGGCGGCGTGTCGATGAACGTCCAGAGCCCACGGTTGGGGCTCAAGTGCTTGGCACAGCTGTTTGATCTTTTCCTTCCCTTCCGCGGTGCCCATGGCTTGCGTATCAAGCTTGGTTCTCCGCCCTGAATTCTTGGGCTCAATGCGGAGCGCAGCGTTGGTTCTCAGCCACAAAGCATAGTGGTCTATGCGCGCTTGGCCCCATTCAAGCTCATGAATCACTGCGCTGTGGCCAGCTGCGACCTGCCAAATTGACGGTATGGCGATGTAGTCGAGCCTGGATGTGGTGGTCCCACCTGGGGACTGCCATGTTGCCGACGGCCCCGGATGGCAACAGGAGAATGTGCTGGGTATCCACAGTTCGGCATCCTCTAGCAAGTTCCAGAAGGCCTGTGGGGGTGGAGTGGCAGTATGCCACGTCAGATCCCCAACCCGTCCCTCTTGTCCATGGTGCAGGTGCAAATTGAAGTCACCTAGAAGCACAATCTGTGCCCCCTGTCGCAGTCGACCAATCAACAGGCGGAAATCTTGCCACCACTGATTGCGTTCAGGGGAAGAGTTGGTGGGCGCATGTATCGCAATAAAGAGTATGCGCATCCGGGCTCGCGCAAATCTCACAGCTATGACTCTGGGATCCCAATGCACAACCAGAAAGTCCCCAATCTGGAAGAAGACCTTGATTGACGAATGGCAGACAAATGGGACTTCCTTAGAGAACCAAATTTCTGTGCCGTAGGAACCTTGGCTGTCACATGCACTGCAGAACCTCAGGTGGGTGCGGGACTGTATCGTTTCATTGCGAGGGGCCCTTGTTTCTTGCAAGGCAGCAACGCAGATCCCCCGCTCTGCAAACTGTTCACGGAGCAGGGCTGCCCTTCCACGGAAAGGAGGAAGGGTATGGTCGGCGTCTGAAGGCCCCTCTCCGGGATGGAGCGATTGAACGTTCACTGTCAGCAGGTCAGCCGACAACGCAGCGTAGAGTGGGCCTCGTCCGTGGCTTGACTGTCTTGAGTGAGGCAAGCCTAGCATGCTCTCGCACTCGTCACTTGTTGGCAGTGGAGCCGGACCCTCGTTGCGATCAACAAAAGAGTCTGCAAGCTGAATCGGCCAAGCTTGGGGACGCTGAATTGCATCGACAAATAGCCACAACCATGGGAGCCATTGATTACACAGAAAGAGGGTAATCGGATGGGAGGCCCATACTGTGCCTGACAGGTCTTCCCGGCAACGCCTCTTCGCGAGCCGGTCGGCAATCTCATTACCCGCGTGGCCGACATGTGATTTCATGTGTCGGACAGTAAGTCTGCTGCAGTCCCCCTTGGCTTGGAGTGCCTGCATGACTGCACGGCAATGGCAACTGATGTCAGTGCCTCGGTATTGACCTGCACGTCCTTCGGACAGTCCGATGGCGGTGGTACAATCTGAATGAATGAGAATCTGAACCCCTGGCGGGAAGGAAAGCAACCAACTGAGGCACCAGAACAAAGCAGAAAGCTCGCCGTTAAGGGCCCCGTGTGATGTTGCTCCAAGAAAGGTGGCATGCTTGTCATTTGTCTGGACCGTGTCTCCAGCCCATCCTAGGCTATGCCATACGCCGGCTTGGCAACCGATGGCATGGAATGCCCACGAGCTGGTTCGACCGTCAAAGGAGCCATCGGTATAAGCAACGATCCGTTCATAACGCCCTACAGCAACCTGTTGGCTGGCATCAGGGTATGTGACGCGCCACATTCGAAAGGTCTCGGACCCGTCGTCAGGGAGGGGCCAGAGGCCGAGCTGATCGTGGTGCAAGAGCCTCACAACGTGATCTAGTGTGCATCCGATTCTGAGCTGGGTCCCAGCCAGATCAAAGGTCCTGGTGCCGACATGTGGCTCTAGACGAAGAATGTTTTCAGGCTCCTTGTCAGCGCGGCGTCCTGGATGTCTCTGTGAAACAGAATCCTCAAGAAGAGTAGTGAGAACCTCTACTTCGCACGTGTATCCCACCGGCTCTGCGCGTGTGGCGGATGTTCCGCGCGCTCTAACAGGAGTAGGGATGGGACGTCCCCCGATGCGGGTGACGGGCTTGACGCGGGGCACCATGATGGGTAGTTCAATATCTGGCCTGACCGGTGCCCTCATTGCGGTCGCAGTGACTTGCACTGCCGTAGCTCTGTCAACACACATGATGGTGGTGCAAATAATGCAGATCCAGATGTGAAGACCCCGTCTGAGGCTGAAAGCAGACCCAATCGTAAGCCAGATAACAACCTCATCAGCCACATTGGCACGCCCTACTGACTCGAAAGTTCTGAGTCCAAGGATCAGGCAGATACATACAAACAGGACCTGGGCACCAATCCCGGACTTACACGGGTCGATCTTGTGAGAGGGCTCCCGGCACCGGCTGTTCACATCGCGTCTGTATCCTGACTTTGGAAAGGAGGACACACAGTGTTGGAGGCCCGGAGCAGTATTGTGGTATCTGGTTCCACCTGTGCCAGCATCATTGCTGGACGAAACAGATGGAGGAGCACTATGTGTAGCACTGCCACGCCCAGAACTGCCACGGTCATCGCTGGGGTCGTGTATGAACGAGGGAGCATCAGCAGGGTGACGAATGGCGAGGAGGTAGTTAGGCTGGTACTCGACTCTGACTACCTCCCCTGCTCGGACAGTGCGGCGGTGGTTTCCGCTGTCGCTGTCGAAAGTACCCCCATAAACCCGCACATGATGTCCCCGTGGGCATCGCACCGCCAGTCTAGTGCATAAAGAAAGGATGTCGAGGCACCCATTTTCAGCATATGCCCACGAAAGCTGTAAAAGGACGGGGCGCAGATCAAGGATATACGGAATCGGGCTGGCTCCGAAGCCTGGCGTGTAGACATCCGTGGTACATGCTATGAGGACGTGGCTCGTATAGTGCCCACTGGTAGCATGATCAACTATGTCCGGGGAAGCTGGGACGAGAACGAAACCTCCGTCCTGTAGGCCGAGAGTCTCGGCTGCCTCCAGGCTACTGGCTGCAAAGGTATCTCTGTCGACAGGGACCGCGGTATGTCTCCCGTCCGTAAGGATCCAGCTGATTCCATCCCTATCTCCACTTAGGGTCGGTGCGCAGTTCCACGGGTTCTGGGACTGAAGGTGGTGTCCCAGGTCCGGAAGCATGGGGGCACGATGACCTCCATCGCAAATCTGCACAAGATCGCCATCTTCAGGGAAAAAGACCTGATCAGACTGCAGCGGCCATGGGATGTCCTTGACGAAGACCCGCAGAGTCTCTGGTGCGAGATCTTCATCAATGCCGGCAAGCCTCAAGATAGACTCCCTGCGACACTCGTGCGGAAGTATGACAGCGAAAATCCCTGGGTTGCTGAAACGGTTGTCGATCAGCACAACAACCCCTGGAAAGGTCCATCGGGGGACCGCAATTACGCATGCTTGCTCAGTCAGGGGCTGTGGGAAAACTGGCATTAGACGCGGACTACGCCGATGATCCTCAGCACTACGGGTCTGGGCTAGTATGGCGATGGCCTCGCCAACAGAGGTCTGCGCAGCAAGTCTACACACCACAAGCTCAGGCCAGTATTCTTGCGCAAAAACCAAGAAGGGCACTGCAGTGGAGTCATCTTCAGGTGCCTCCGCCCTTACTGGCTCTCCATTGGAGCCAGTTCCCGGCATGCTGCGCTGGCCATCAGAGGAGGTACCTACCGAATTGGCAGTCCCCTCTGCTGTAGAGCCACGAGAGGGTGAATGGCGCTCGGTTAGAGCAGCAGTGGCACCTGTGGGGGCGGTCTGTCTTGCAAACGTGGCAGTCAAGACTTGTCCCGGGGACACATGACAGATTTCCTGTGCGTCAAAGGGTACATCGAAGCTGACAGCCCATCCTTTCGGAGGTAAAGGGTGGATATGTGCAACGAGATCTGACAGACACACTGAACCGTTCCTCGCACCTGCAGCCTTCAAGCCTTGAGATATGGGTCTGCAATCCATGATGAACAGCGTAGCCCAACTGTGTAGGTCAACACTAGGCCCCTGGCTGACGGCGAGCACAGTTCCGCACATCAGGCCGTGAAGGGCAACGTCAGTAAAAGGTGGCTGTGCCGCCTGTAGTCGCAATCGCTCAATGCTGATGCCAGTGGTTTCCGCTATGCCACAACGGTATAGGGCAGGCCGTTCATTGTCAACAAGATGAAGTTGAGAGCCCTCTTCACTGGCGAGACAAATCACATGATCGCCTCCGTCCTGAGTCCGAGGGGCATAAGGCATTTCTGCCCATCCTGATGGCGTCAGAAGCGCCTCTCCGAGAGTTTGGCGGTAGGGCACAGTCTCACCCGGGGGCATTAGCATGATGAGCGAACCTGGGAAAAGATGGGCAGGGGTCTCGTCAACTAATGCCTCAGGATCCCTGCCTATGCAAACCTGTACCTCTTCGGCGGGAATTGTCGCTAGGTTGATGATCTCGTGCCTAGCCGCATAGTCAGGCGTGGCGACGGCATATATCCTGCCATCGATTCTTGACGCATCCAGGCATTGCGCGGGTTGCGAGGACGACCACTCCGCACAGGCAACATAGAAGGCGTATCCCTTGATCGGCTGTGGGATAACTTCGTGTATGTGTGGAAAGGCCTCACTTCTCCGCCGAGATCTGGCAATTTGCGCAGCAATTTCGGCTTCAGCAGTGGTTGCGGGACACGGCACCAGGGCCCATACAACTTCAGGGGTGTATCCTGGGGCAAGGATGACAGCGCAGATTTGCACAAGCTCCTCATGGTCAGCGGACGAGGTGTCATCCTGTGCGGCGTCTTCCAGATCTGCTTGTGCCGGAGCCCCTGCGGGAAAAGTTCGGAGCCACCTGTCACCTAGCCGTCTAGTAACCTCGCGTAAACCTGTGAGCCGGTTGCTCGCTTGTCGGTTCTGACTCTGCGGCTCTTCAAGGACTCGATCGGCTGGTTCCTTCTCGTGTCCTGGTGGTGTGGGGTGGGCAGCAGGCTTGCTGTTCCAAGGGTACAGGCGTTGGTCACATGGATGAGGGGTTCCATTGAGACCCCGGCTCCAAAAGGCCAGATGCGGGCTTACATCTTGAAGGCCATTCGCTGGCCATGGTAAGCCAAGGTGACGAAGCCCTGCAAAACAGTAATCTCTGAAGTCCTCCCACATCTGGGCTATAACTCGTATCCCTTGTGTAGCATAGTGCTCTCTGCGGAGATTATGCTTCAAGCCAGGCACTAAGTATTCTAGAACTTCATTGGCGGGGCCATCAGGCTGAGCATCATGATGAGTCTCTGCCAGACCAGCACCATGGATGCTCTCATGCACGTCTCCGTTTGGCGCAGTGTCTGTCCCAAAGCTGGCGTCATCGCCCTCCTGTGGTGCTGCGTCTCCCTCGCTTGAATCCTCATCATGGGATATGCATTCGAGGTTCGTCGGGGAGCTTGAAGACTGTGACGGAGGTGAATTGAGGCGGAAACCAAACACAAAGACACCACCATCCTGTGAGGTAGGAGGTATGCCTTCGGCGGGTTGGACATAGACTAGGTGATGCAGTGGTGGCGGTCTCAGACCCAGCCAGTCGGCAAAACGCAATGGATCGTCATCATCTTCAAGATAGAGTGTCGTGATCCCTGCGTTCGCTGGGCGGCCGTCAAGGAAAATGAGTCTCCCCTGCCGTTCCTCGCTAGGAGTTATGGGGTACGCAGCCAACACATCTCTGCAATCGCAACCGCCAAGGCATACGTCCCCTAACAGGGAACTCTCGGGCGCGACAAAAAGGGTGGCATCTGGGGTCCTCTGAACGAGGTCGGCAACACGGGTTGATAGAGGAACACCTGATGATTGGCTCATAGGCAAAAGGGTATGGCTGTCTCCATGCAAAACCAGGAGTATATCCTCAGCAGGGGACCTGGGCACAACAGGTGCGCCTAACCACGGAACTGGTCTACTGAACCTTGTCGCAAGGGAGCCATACCACTCAGGACGCGTGCCTACCGCCCGGAACTGTACTACCCATCCATGAGAGACATGAAAGTCCTGTCCATCTGGTTGTGGGCTCTCGGACCCTGCGACATATATGCTGCATGGCATGTTGCTATGTCTTAATGCCTCTTGGTGGCATTCCCATAGAGTGACGCATCCGGAGGTGACCCTCGCGAAGATGGGTCCGCCAATCGCATGTAGGTCAAAGATGACAGTGCATCGGCCATCTGGTTCCTGCCACGTAGGGATCAGAACTAAGGAACCAAAATCCCTTCCAATCTGGGGCTGTGTCGGAATGAGGCGTTCGAAGAAGGGGGGGAGGCTGTGTCTGAGCCCCTTCAGGACCTCCCTGAGAGCGTCACGCTCAAGACAAGGCAAGCAGAGCTCAAGCTGCTTTTCAATGCTTTTGTAGCCCGGCACAAACACCTGAAAGGTGCATTGCGTAGCGATCTGGTCCTCAGCAGACATCACGCCGACACTCGACTCTGTCCGGTCGGCATAATGTGTGGCAACAGGCAAGACATGTAAGGCGGCCTCAAGCCTGTCGACACCTGTGGTTGACATGCA